TTTTCAATGTCATCCAAAGCCAGCATTGTCTTCCAAAGAAATCCATCTTTTTTTTCTAAAAAAAGAAAATGCTTTTGCCTTCCCTTCCCTTTCCATCTGCCATATTTCTTCAGCCTTTCTTCTTCTTCACCCGTGTATTCTTTGACCAGTAAATGGCCACACCTCAATGATGATAAAACAGCATCGTCAGTAAGCTATCTTATATGCCTCATCCTGTGAGTTTGAGCTTCAGGAAACATGAGTAAAGGTATATGTAATGTATATAGTCGTATATGTATTCTAGCAAGAAAAACATATTTATTTTAACAAAGGGGAACACTGACTTAAATTGCTAAGGATTTGCAGCTAGTGAAAGGTTCTCAGTCTCTGAGAGTGGACCCTAATTAACATAAAGACTATTCATCAGCAAATACCTACTGAGCAGCTCTAGTGTGCCAGCACGGGCCAGGCCTACTAGTGAGCCAGGCACACCTGTCTTTGGGAAACTCATTCTACAGGGGAAGGCCAGTTTTTTTCCCTTCAATTCCTCAAGTCTGGGTGGTGACAAGGTAGGAGGGACTGGGTACTGGACTACCACAGGTTTTTAGGAACTAAGGTGTTTCTCATAAACACAGAATGTTGGGTGAAACTGGGAACAACTTACTCGGAAGCTAATTTATTTGCTTAAATGGAAAGTGTGGGAGCCACTACCCTCTCTTTTGATCTGCCAAGGATTTCCTCTCAGAGCTGTTGCACAGAGATTGTACTTGGTAAGATACCAAACAAGACAGATATGCATCTAAATTTCTAATGTGTTCTATGGGTTTCAATTCTGAAAAAAGAAAATGAATAAAGATTTTAATAAATATGATGTCTGATCTTTTCCTCTTCTTTCTCCCTTCAGGGTATTTCCAGTGGTTCCTATTTCAGTTTCCTTCCTGTTTTGTTAGGGGACAGAAGAAGATTACATCTTTTGTGACCACTTAAACTTCCACAGGGATTGTTTCACAGTACCTGGTGGATTAGACCTGCAGATTTCCTCACCAGTCTTCAAACGGTTCATACTAGATTGTAACTATACCAGAATTTTTCATGGGATCATTCTTAGGTGCTTTTTATATATTTAATAGTTAATTCCATTTTTGCAGCTTCCTTAGAGGTAAAGGATTATGAATCCTGAAGCACTTGTCAGCATACTACAAAAAAAGTAGGAAGAGAAGGCCAGTTGCCCTAATAGCACTTCTTAGGACACCTAGATTTTTAACTTTTCAGATGGAATCCAGCATCATAAACCTCAACCAGATAACTGAACAAAGCTCTTAAGATTTTTACTGGGCCAGGCGCCGTGGCTCACGTCTTTAATCCCAGCACTTTTGGAGGCTGAAGCCTGTGGGTCACTTGAGGTCAGGAGTTTGAGACTAGCCTGGCCAACATGGTGAAACCCCTTCTCTACTAAAAATACAGAATTAGCTGGGCATGGTGGCGCATGCCTGTAATCACAGCTACTCGGGAGGCCGAGGCAGGAGACTTGCTTGAACCTGGGAAGTGGAGTTTGCGGTGAGCTGAGATTGCGCGATTGCACTCCAGCCTGGGCAACAAGAGCGAAACAGATGAGCTGGGAAACATTCCTGTAATGTTTGTTTCTCATGCAGGGTTATTTAAATATGGAGACTTGCTTTTGTTTTGTTGTTTTTGAGGCCCAATCTCAGTCTCAACAACAACAACAACAAAAAGCTGGGTGTGATGGCAAGCGCCCATAATCCCAGCTACTCAAAGGTTGAGGCAGGAGAATCGCTTGAACCTTTCGGAAGCGGAGGTTGCAGTGAGCCAAGATCATGCCATTGCACTTCAGCCTGGGCGATGAGGGAAACTCAAAAAAAAAAAAAAAAGTTTTATTTGCAGCATATTTGTGCTAGTTTTTGTCATTTGGGTGTGAATACATGTGGGAGGCTAGTAGAGCCTGGTCTGTGTATCTCACTGACTCACCACATACACATTCTTTTCCAGGCTAGTGTTCAGGATTCATTTGCTTCTCAAGCATATCAGAACAACTGGTATTAGAGCCTGAAAAAGGTAGCTGGGAGTAGGGAGTGTGGGGCTCTGTTACTGGGCAATTTTACCTAGTATGTTTGCTTATGAGACTGATTTTTAGCAGCCTTCATTTTGTAAAATAGGAATGGTCATAACCACTGGATTTCCATGGGTAGGGTTTTGTAAGGTATAAGCCCCAAGGAATAATGGTATTAAATCACAGTTTGTGAGATGTTTGGTCTGTTGTCAGTAGATCTTTGGGCCATTGTGCGGTGAGCTGTGGTATACTACTGACGTGGTAGTGACTGTCTTTTTCCCTCAAAAAGCCTGCAGTCTAGACCTGGCAGAAAAAAAAACTGCTTGCCAGGTACCAAGTCCCTCAGGAATTATATAAATTAATTGCAGTGAGAATAAGAAACAGGAGAGGATCATGGAGGTGGGGATTGGGAGGGGTTAGATTAGGCAGGACCTACATTGAAAAAGTGGAGATTGATCCAGGCTTGACAAGAGGGGTGTATAGAACCCCTGACTCCGGAAATGCAGAACTATTTGCTTAGTGAATACAGGGCCTTCTGGGCCTGTACTTTCAGTACCTGGGTCACCAGAAATACTGCTTCAGGGGTTTCTCATTGTTCTAGGAAATGTGTGTCTGCCCTGTCTCTTAAGGACATTCTCAGTCCACCTGGAGTGCTGTATAGATGTTAAAGGAACATAGATGAGCTGGGAAACATTCCTGTAATGTTTGTTTCTCATGCAGGGTTATTTAAATATGGAGACTTGCTTTTGTTTTGTTTTTGAGACCGAATCTCGCTCTAACACCCAGGCTGGAGAGCAATGGCGTGGTCTTAGCTCACTGCAACCTCCGCTTCCCAGGTTCAAGCAATTCTCCTGCCTCAGCCTCCCGAGTAGCTGGGACGACAGTCACGTGCCACCACGCCTGGCTAATTTTTATATTTTTAGTAGAGATGGGGTTTCTCCATATTGGCCAGGCTGATTGGTCTCAAATGCTTGACTTCAAGTGCCTCAGCCTCCCAAAGTGCTGGGATTACAGGCATGAGTCACTGTGCCAGGCCGAGACTTGCTTTTGACCCAGAGTGTTTCCAAGGCAGATGGTTCTGACTGCCTTCAGCGGGGTTGGGAAGATGTCTATTGTAAGGCTAGGTCATACTCAGATGATATCAATAAAGGTGTTGTGTGCCAATTTTGCCTTAGGCTTTTTTTTTTTTTTTTTTTGGATTGACAGTCTTGCTCCGTTGCAGGCTGGAGTACAATGGCACAATCATAGCTCATTGGCAGTCTCAAACTCCTGAGCTCAAGCGATCCTCCTCCCTCAGCCTCTCAAGTAGCTAGGATTACAGGCGCGCACCACCACATGCAGCTTATTTTTTATTTTTATTTTTGGTAGAGAGACAAGGGATCTAGCCTTGTTGCCCAGGCTGGTCTCAAACTCTGGCTTCAAGCGACCCTCCTGCCTCAGCCTCCCAAAGTGCTGGGATTACAGGCATGAGCCACGGCTTCCTGCACAGAAAGACTTTAAAAGTGCAGGTTTTGATTCAGTATGTCTGAGGCCTGAGATTCTGCATTTCTGTCAAGCTCCTGGGTGATGCCAGTGTTGGGGTTCTGGAACCACTCTTGAGTAGCACCGTAATGCTTGCTAAAGAATCATAGCTGTCTGTAGTTTTCCCAACAGTCTCTAGATGTCCCCATCATCCACGATACTGCTCCCAGACCTTTAAAATGAGCACAGCCTTCAAGCCCTGAGACCAAAAGGAGTATTTATTGAAATAAGAGACTTGTCTAGAAACTGGTGTTTGGATTTATTGTTTCTACATGGGACTGACTGGTGAAAAACTGTTTACTTCTATTTTTTTTTTTTTTTTTTATAACGAAAAATGTCAGCCGGGCGTGGTAGCTCACGCCTGTAATCCCAACACTTTGGGAGGCTGAGGTGGGCAGATCACTTGAGGCCAGGAGTTCAACACCAGCCTGGCCAACATGGCAAAACCCCGTCTCTACTAAGAATACAAAAAAAAAAAAAAAAAATTAGCGGGGCGTGGTGCTGAACGCCTGTAATCCCAGCTACTCAGGAGGCTGAGGCAGAAGAATCGCTTGCACCAGGGAGACAGAGCTTGCAGTGAGCCAAGATTGCACCACTGCACTCCAGCCTGGGTGACAGAGCAGGACTCCGTCTCTAAATAAATAAATAATAAAAGTGTCTTGAAATCAAGTCGGTTGTCGAAGAACTTCCCAGCTAACCTACTTTATTTACCATGGGATGCTAAATCCAAGTCAGAACATCTCAGAAATGAGGAGGTAGCCCTACATGAAAGTTCCAAGCAAAGATAATTGTTTCCACAAAATCTTAAAACTTGGATTGTTTTAATAAACAATTGTTACTATTAATTTTTTCACCATAAATTCACTTATAAACTTCACCAGTATTAACTAAAGCCATCCTCACCTCCTGTGTAGACCACCCAGAGCCTCCTCCAGGGCTGGGTAGATACAAAAATAAAAGTGACCACATATTGAGTGTTGATGATGTGCTCATTGAGCTCATTTAATCTTCACAGCAGCCCTATGAGGGGACTATTTTATTATCCCTTTTTATAGGTGAGGAAACAGGCATGGGACGGTTCAGTAACACCCAGGGTTGCACAAATAGAAAATGGTAATCACTATACTAGACTGCCATTCAGACTCAAGCGACATTTGTTAATTTTTTTTTTTTTTTTTTTTTTTTTTTGAGATGGAGTCTTGCGCTGTCACCCAGGCTGGAGTGCAGTGGCACGATCTTGGCTCACTGCAACCTCCGCGCCCTGGATTCAAGCCATTCTCCTGCCTCAGCCTCCTGAGTAGCAGGGATTACAGATGCGCGCCATCACACTCCGCTAATTTTTGTATTTTTAGTAGAGACTGGGTTTCGCCATGTTGGCCAGGCTGGTCTCGAACTCCTGATTTCGGGTGATCCGCCCTCGGCCTTCTAAAGTGCTAGGATTACAAGCGTAAGCCACCGCACCTGGCCTAATTTGTTTGGTTTTCCAGTAAGCACTGTGGTGTATGTGATGTTAATTGTCTCTGGTGGACTCCACAAGCTTAATGTACACAGTGCTGGGCTGGTGCCATGGCTGCTTCTCTGAAAAGTTTTTGACATCACACCGAATGGCTGAGACACTACGAACATTTTACTTTTCATCTCAACCTCGTGTCCTCGCAAAGGTGCCTGTCTAGTTTCTGTAGCTGTTTGAATGAAAGGCGCAAATTTGGTGTGCTGCTGAGAATGGAGCCGACCTGGCACTGGGTGTGATCTAAGAGACTGGGGTGAAGAGATGAGTCAGTGCCTGTGACATTTGTGACACATGGTGCTCGGATTCACCTTACTGTCTGGAGGGCCCAACCTCAAAGCCACTAAACATACGACATTAGCCAAGTCCTCTGATCTCTCTAGACAGCAGTTTTCTCCTAAGACAAGATGGCTTTTTGGCCATTGGCTGAAGTAAGCCAGGTGATTTTAAACAATGCATTAAGCTCTTCTGAAACCTAACAGCCTTGTTCCAAGCTGCTCGCTATGGAGAAGAGAGCGCTGAGGGAAAGAGGCCCTGTAGTCTTTTGCCAGTGGTGTCGGATGGGCTACTCAGTCCCAGCACTTGAAAGTTGCAAACCTAGTCAAGAAAGTGCACACAGTACTTCACCTTTTTATGAGATATAATTACATTGACATGACGCCTTATGATTTACCCGTGACTCGGGGGTTTCCAAAATCCAAACACTTCCAGACTGGGGCCCGTCAATCAGCTTCCTCTTGCTTTTCGTGGACTCCCAAACTGTGGAAACCTGCTGGTGTTTTGCTGCGGTTTCATTTCCCTCTGTGGAGGAGCCAGGGCAACCTCGGCCAGACAGGCACCCAGCTGCGCCCTTGTTTCCAGGGCCTCTTCACTCAGCTGACTCTCCTGGCCTGCCTAACGGTCCTGGCTGAGACGGTTTCCCGGCTTCCTCTAACAGGTTGGCGAGAAGTTGATCTGCAAACGCGAGGCAGAGCAGGAGTGTCCTTATTCGGTAGGCCTCTGATGGGCCACCAGGTCCGTCCGAAAGTCCTAGCCGAGTGATTGACAGTGGCCATTTCAAAGCCTGATTTCACCTTTGCAACCATAATCACGACCCAGAATAAACTGCTTCCAGGAAGGCAGTTAGTTGTACCTAGCCTGAAGTCAGTCTCCGGACTGCCTCTCAGGACCCCCGCCAGGGTTTCGGGTTCCCGCCTGGGTCACGTGTAAGGAGGCTGCCAGTGCGCACTCAGCCCGGCCCGCCGGTCGCCAGAGCAACACCAATCCCGGGTTGACTCCCGCCTCGGAAGTGCAGTCCCCGCCCGACAGCCCCGGGCTTAAGGGAGCCTGGCTAGGCCGGCAGCCAGAGGGTCCCGCAGCTTGGGGCCGGCCATGCTTCGCGGCTCGTGGCGCCAGCTTTGGCTCTTTCTCCTGTTGCTGCTGCTGCTGCTGCTGCTCCCGGGCGCGCCTGAAACCCGCGGCACCTCCAGGCCGTGGGAGGGAACCGACGACCCGGGCTCGGCCTGGGCCTGGCCGGGCTTCCAGCGCCTGCAGGAGCAGCTCAGGGCGGCCGGCGCCCTCTCCAAGCGGTACTGGACGCTCTTCAGCTGCCAGGTGTGGCCCGACGACTGTGACGAGGACGAGGAGGCAGCCGCGAGGCCCCTGGGTAAGACCCCGTCCCCGCGGCCCGCCGTTCGCTGCGGAGCAGAGTGCGATCCGGGCGCGGCTGTGGTCGCCTCGCTCCTGCCCTGGGAGACGTCAGGGCCCGCAGTTCTGCTCCGCTCAGCCGCCGGTACCGGCTGTGGGCGGGGGCAGCCTCCGCGGAGCAGGGAGCCCCATCACCGCCCCGGCCCCACTCACATCCCCGGTGCCGCCCCCTGGGGCCCGGCTGCCCCGTCCCCTGCCGCCCCTGATCCCCGCGCTTTCCAGACTCGCTCGCACCGCCTGTGCCGTCTCCCAGCCCACCCTGGCGTTATTCGAAGGTGCTGCTCTTGACAGCTCTAGGGAACGTCCGCTGTGGACATGCCTGGTGACTGCCGTCTCCCTTGCTGCTTTTGGACGCAGGGCTTGAGGACCGACAGTGGGCTGAGCTGGGGCTGGGAGTTGGAATCTGAGTTCTGGGTGTCGCTCTGTCCCTGACAAATTGTGTGGCAACGTTGCCGCATCACTGTCGAGCGCCCGATGGTCTCCTCTCGGTCTCACAGCTCTTCTTTTCCAGGCTGGCGCCTTCCCCTGTTGGGCCAGCGGTACTTGGATCTCCTGACCACGTGGTACTGCAGCTTCCAAGACTGCTGCCCCGGTGGGGATTGCAGAATCTCCAACAACTTTACAGGTTGGACCCCGCATGGCTTCAAGGGACTAGGGATCTGGGGAGGGGACGCAGTCCAGGGGAAATGGTTAGATGCAAGGGACCTTTCGTCATCCTGTCCAACCTCCCCACAAGCAGGAACTGCCACAGTCTGAGGTTTTGAAGGAGTACCAAATGCTTGAGTCAGGGAAGCCCCTTTTTAGCCTCTAGCTTAATAGCCCAGGCAAACTGAGCTGTTTCGTGGATCTTGAGGATCCATGGGAATGCCAGGAACACATCACACTCAGCTAAGCTGGGAGGAGGGAATAGGCCCATCATTACCACCGTGTGTCCTCTGTCTAAATAGGGTTTCCTCTGCTCATTTGTCACCTACCCCCACCATGTCCTCCTGCATCCCTGAGAGCGTTTCCAAGGAGAAGAGAATACCTAATATCTGTTATACATACCAGGCACTGTGCCAAGAGTTTCAAAGGGATTAACTCATAATCCAACATCTCCTTTGATCTCTAGGAGAGTCAGGCCCAGAGCACCTTGTTTCACTCCAAACAGAAACAGGGACCTCTCAGAGGGGCTGGAACTATCCAGTGAGAGAACTGATCAGAAATTCTGGGTTGTGATTAAAAGTGTCCCTTTCTCTTTTTTTTTTTTTTTTGATGTTGGAGACAGAGTCTTGCTTTGCACCCACACTGGAGTGCAGTGCTGTGATCTCAGCTCACTGCACTCTCCGCCTCCTGGGTTCAAGCAATTTTCCTGCCTCAGCCTCCCGAGTAGCTGGGATTACAGGTGCCCACCACCACGTCTGGCTAATTTCTGTATTTTTAGTAGAGACGTGGTTTCACCATGTTGGCCAGACTGGTCTTGAACTCCTGACCTTGTGATCTGCCTGCCTCAGCCTCCCAAAGTGCTGAGATTACAGGTGTGAGCCACTGCACCCGGCAACCAGTATTTTCTAATTAGTTTGGGTGACTTGATTTGCATATTGCAGTTGATTTGCATTTTCACTCTCACAAGGTCATCTTTGGCCCCATGTTCTGAAACCTATTCAGACATTTGCAAAAGCTTCCTCTCTTTTCCCCAGGAGCAATTTCTTACCCAGAGTTCTGATCCCAGCTCCTTTAGTCTCCATAAATGAGGCCCACCTTAGATATTTAGGTCACTTAATTGGCCAAAATGCCAATAACGCAGTGTTTTTAGGGACACGGTCTGGCTCAGGACAGAAGATAGGAGTATATACAGGTCAGGAAGTCTGAATTTGGATCACTGCTGACTTGGATAAGACCCTAGGTGGCAATTAGTGAGTTACTTTCTGCCCTCAACTACGTTCTGCCCTCAACATGCCTGTTCGACAAGGGCCTGGATATCCAAATTGTTGTGGCCGGGGAATCAGAGACCCCTCCACTGGATTCCTAGTCTTGCCTCTTCCTTGCTGGCAGAGTCCTTCCCAAGTGTCCGTTTCCTCAGCTGTATTTTATTTTATTTCTTTTATTTATTTATTTTGAGACCAAGTCAGTCTCTGTCACCCAGGCTGGCGTGTGGTGGCACGATCTCGGCTTACTGCAACCTCCGCCTCCCAGGTTCAAGCGATTCTCTTCCCTCAGCCTCCCAAGTAGCTGGGATTATAGGCGCAGGCCACCATGCTTGGCTCATTTTTGTATTTTTAGTAGAGATGGGGTTTTGCCACGTTGACCAGGCTGATCTTGAACTCCTGACCTCAGGTGATCCACCTACCTCGGCCTCCCAAAGTGCTGGGATTACAGGCGTGAGCCACCTCGTCCAGCCAGTTTCTTCAACTTTAAATGGGAATAATAACGCCTGCCTTGCAGAATTGTGAAGACTAAATATAAAACACTTAGCCCAGTTCTGAATACAGAGAAAAAAGCGGCAAATGTTAATGTTCTTCTGTGTCACTACTACTTTTGGAGCAATGTGTGATACCCTCAATGTTTTATCATAGACCTTGACCTCCCAAGGCTCCAGAATACACGCTCTGGGCTGGCTTGAGGTGTTCAACCAATTGATCCTGGATTTGGAGTGCTCACCCACAGCTGGCAGCACACCCTCCCTGTCTCCACTGTGGCTCCTGGTAGCCCCATCTCCAAATCCTACAACCTCATGTCTGAGAGGAAGTTAGGCCTAGCAGAGGGCTTTGCACACTGGAGCTGCTCTCAACAAGTGTCGACTGAATTGAATGAGAATGAATAAAATCAAGCTTCTGCATGAAACAGGGAGCCCTGAAACCAAGGGATGGGAGCAGCCTCAGGACATGGGGGACAGGATTCCTCCCTAGACAGGTCTGTGCCAACTGTTCTGGGTATGTGCAGGATCTTCAGGAAGGGTGATTCCTCTCTCTCCCTAAGTCCCATCTTTATTTCCCAAACTCTTCAAAAAGTAGTCCTTGAGGCTGCGCATGGTGGTTCACGCCTGTAATCCCAGCACTTTGGGAGGACGAGGCGGGCGGATCATGAGGTCAGGAGTTCCAGAAAAGCCTAGCCAACACGGTGAACCCCATCTCTACTAAAAATACAAAAGTTAGCCGGCCATGGTGGTGGGCACCTGTAATCCCAGCCATTCCAGAGACTGAGGCAGGAGAATCGCTTGAACCAGGGAGGCGGAGCCGAGATTGCACCACTGCACTCTAGCCTGGGTGACAGAGCAAGACTTCATCTCAAAAAAAGGAAAGAAAGTAGTCCTTGCGTCCCTTCTGCTACAAAGTCTGCCTTCTGGCTGCTTATTATGCCAAACAGGAGGAGTAACTGACCCCAACCGAGAGAGATTCAGAGTTGCTTGATTTCTGGGCTGTTGGCTGCTGTGGTGGATGCGCCTGTGTGTGACTTTTGCTGTGACTGCCTCTTTCTCGTCCTTAGGCTTAGAGTGGGACCTGAACGTGCGGCTGCATGGCCAGCATTTGGTCCGGCAGCTGGTCCTAAGAACAGTGAGGGGCTACTTAGAGACGCCCCAGCCAGACAAGGCCCTTGCTCTGTCGTTCCACGGCTGGTCTGGCACAGGCAAGAACTTCGTGGCACGGATGCTGGTGGAGAACCTGTATCGGGATGGGCTGATGAGTGACTGTGTCAGGATGTTCATCGCCACGTTCCACTTTCCTCACCGCAAATATGTGGACCTGTACAAGGTGAGGCCGACCAGGGCTCGGGTGAGGCCTCTGTGCTGGGAGGAAGACCCTTCTGCCAGCCCTTCCTTGCAAGGAAGTGGGCTCTGGAGAAGCCTGGGGAGGTGGGGACAGGTGGCAGAACCTGTGACAGAGCCACTCACTCGGTCCACTTCTCACAGAGGCCCTGAGCATCTGGCGGAGACTGGCGTTCCAAACACCCCCCACCGCTCTGTCCCCCGAATAGTCACACTCAAGAGGCTGGACGCTGCACTTAAGCAGGGACGCTGCATGTCGATTTTTGTTGTAGAAGTATTGAAATGTCACAGGCAGTGTAGAACAGAGAAAAGCAAAAACTATCGGACTGTCCACATGGGCACACCCTTGTCAACTAAGGAGAGTTATCATTTTATGTGCTGCCTTTGGTGCGGAACGTTTCCCCAGGCTCTTTGTCATTGTAACTACATTGGACAGAGAGTGGCATATCCTGCCTTTTTAAAAAACAGGCCTATTGGCTGGGCACAGTGACTCACGCCTGTAATCCCAACACTTTGGGAGGCTGAGGTGGGCAGATCACAAGGTCAGAAGATCGAGACCATCCTGGCTAACACGGTGAAACCCTGTCTCTACTAAAAATACAAAAAATTAGCCGGGCGCGGTGGCGGGCACCTGTAGTCCCAGCTGCTGGGGAGGCTGAGGCAGGAGAATGTCGTGAACCTGGGGGGCGGAGCTTGCAGTGAGCTGAGATCCGGCCACTACACAACAGAGTGAGACTCCGTCTCAAAAAAAAAAAAACAAAACAGGCCTATCGTATCTTACATGATTTTCCACGTCTTCCTGTATCAGCTTATTATATAACAGCAAGTGGATGGACAGAAATTTCCTTGGCTGTTCTGCCAGTTTGGGTTTCTTCTACTAATTGAGCCCTGTAGTATTGAAAACATACCAGAAGAGCCTGACAGAAATGACTGCACCTGTCTTTGGCTTTCTGTTCTGATATCTGGAATGTGTTCACCTGGGAAGATTATGTCAGTGTCTGAGGACAGAGACTGCCCACGTCTCCTGGCAGTTTCCATATGGCTTTGGAGGGCAGGGGCAGGCTGAGCTGGCCTCTCCAGGAAGAACTATTTGGCTTAGACTGTGGCAAAACTGCTGCAGCCCCAGCTTCCCCGCTCTGAAAACTGGTATGTGCACAGCCCTACACCTCACACTTTCCCCCACACAGGTGCACCCAGTAGACAGGAGTGTGGGCTCTGGGGTGGGAACTGGGCCTGAATAATATATTCCCTGCCCATTTTGATGAACATTGCAAAGAACCATCTTTTCACTTGAGGGTTTACTGTCTTGCCTGGGACAAAGAACCCTCCACAGCCCCTTGCAGGAGCGAAGTCGGACGTTGGTTGGGCCCAGTGAGTCCTTCAGCAGGCTTCCCCCCTGAGATCTCGGGCCAGCCAGGGTGCCCGTGGGTGCTGTGCACCCGGGAGTTCAGGGCAGGGGACTGTGACTGCTTCTAGGCACACGAGCCTCTCCTTGCCCATCACCCCTGTGTTAAAGCCCAACTCCTACCCACCCCCTGGGAATAGACCCCGAGCTTAAACAGGGAAGTTGCGCCTGGATTTTTTTGTTGTAGAAGTAATGAAATTTTGCAGGCAGTGTGGACATTATTAGCTCCGGGATGGGACCTAGTCCTGGAGAGGAGAGAGCAGGGCTGGAGCAGGGGCCCCTTCTCAAGGGCAGAAGGGCTTCTCCCCACTCCTTTCTAGGCTCTCTCCTAGTCCCCAGGCTGGCTTCACCTTGTTTAGCTTTTAACCCTCAGGGTGCTTGAGAATCACCTGAGAGCTGGTCAGATGCAAATGTCCTAGGCCCTCCCCCAGAGCTTGGATTTGATAGGTTCAAGGGGGTGAAACCCAGCCCCAAGGAGTCCATTGCACATGCCCGGGGAAAACCACGCCCTCAAGGCCAGAGGTGGAAGGGGTCGCCAGCTCCCCAGCTGCTCCCTATATCCCATGCAGGAGCAGCTGATGGGCCAGATCCGGGAGACGCAGCAGCTCTGCCACCAGACCCTGTTCATCTTCGATGAGGCCGAGAAGCTACACCCAGGGCTGCTGGAGGTCCTTGAGCCACACTTAGAACGCCGGGCCCCTGAGGGCCACAGGGCCGAGTTTACATGGACTATCTTTCTGTTTCTCAGGTGGGTTCTGGGGAACAGTAGGCAGGAGGGCTGGGGGAGGGGAAGATACTAGCTGGCAGTGGAGGCTTCCACACGCTCCCAGGTTCAGAACCTTTTCCTCAAGAAAAAACAGCACAAACTCTGGTACAGAAAGCAGCAGCCAGCTGTGGTGGCTCACGCCTGTAATCCCAGCACTTTGGGAGGCCAAGGTGGCCGGGTCCCTTGAGTCCAGGAGTTCAAGACCAGCCTGGGCAACATAGCGAAACCCCATCTCTACAAAAAGTACAAAAATTAGCTGGGCGTGGTGACGTGTGGTCCCAGCTACTCGGGAGGCTGAGGTGGGAGAATCGCTTGAACCCAGGAGGTGGGGGTTGCAGTGAGCTGAGATCAGGCCACTGCACTCCAATCTGGGTGACAGATTTTTTGAAACAAATTCCCAAGGCAAGCCTGGTTAGAGAACGGCATAGTCTCCCATCAAGTCTAACACGGCCGTTTCTTCCTGCAGCCTTGGAAGGTCTATTTCTGCTCCGATCATGAGAAGTCATCACTGGCTTAAAATCCAGGGCATACAGGTTGAGAGAAACCCATGCTTCCTCTGAGTACCTGTAGTTCAGTTGTGACACTGCCACGCCGGACCCAGTCACTGAATCACGGCACTGCGGTTCCTGTGCTTTTGTTGACATGTCTTTGCGGGAAGACAACTTAGAAATAACTTGTCCAACCTCATCTTTTTGCAGAGGCTCCAACTGGGGGAGTCCTGCGTCTGTTACAAGTTGAGTTTGGGTCCTTGTTGACCCAATTCGAAGGCTTCACAATAGCTCGAGCCTCGGTAGGAGTCAAACCAAGTGCTCCCTTCCCAACTCCACTCCGGCCTCGCCTTCCCCAGGCCAGCACTTGCTTGCTGGGGGTTTTCCCAAGCTGCAGGGTGCACTTTGTGAGGATGGGGAAGTTGGTGGGGAGATGCTGATTTTCATCCTAGCTTGGGGAGTGTGGAGGGGTGAAGGGGTGAGCTGTGGAGGGCAGATCTTGTTTCAGTGTGGATTCACAAGAAGAACTGAAACGGGCCAGGTGCGGTGACTCACGCCTGTAATCCCAGCACTTTGGGAGGCTGAGGCGGGTGGATCACCTGAGGTCAGGAGTTCGAGACCAGCCTGTCTCTACTAAAAATACAAAAAATAGCTGGGTGTAGTGGCAGGCGCCTGTAATCCCAGCTACTAGGGAGGCTGAGGCAGGAGAATCACTTGAACCTGGGAGGCAGAGGTTGCAGTGAGCTGAGACCATGCCATTGCACTCTAACCTGGGCAACAAGAGAGACTCTGTCTCTGGAAAAAAAAAAAAAAAAGTGAAACAGGTTTAAACCATTGCTGACTTGGGATTTCTGTGTGGTGGCGGGCAGCCCTTCCTGGTCTGTAGGTGAAGCTGTGGAGACTTAGAATGCATTGCAAAGTGGGAGGGGAGCGGGGCGCCCAGGGTGACTTTTAAGAGAGAGGTCTCTTGCATGATTTGAGTGCCCAGAACCAGGAGGTGAGGACAGTACATTCTTCTAATTAGTTTTTATCCCCACGTTCTGTACCATTTATTTCCCACCTCCGGAGGCAGCCGGGCTCACCCCTCCTCCTGTTATAGGGAGTCAGGTGGAGGCTGCAACATGCATATGAGCCCAAACAGAGGAGTCACCTGGGTGCTCTGTGGTTTCTCCCCTTGAGCCCTGGGTTGGGGAGTCAGGGGACCCTCTGAACCACCGATGTGGAAGCCAGTCCTTCCCACGGCACGGAGCGAAGCGTGGTGACCCAGCCTTGGGCCTCCCTTTCGCTTCCACAGGGATCTCTCTTGCACTGAGTGTCTTCCTCCTCCCTTTCCCCGTCAGGGGTCTCCCCGCTTCAGGTGGTGCGAGCCACACAGACTCTCCCACCCACTTCTCAGCTTGGAAAACCTCACCTGGGCCATGATTGCTTAATGCGACCCGGTGACCTTGCAGTCTCTAGGCAAATGTTAGCCTTTGTAGTATTTTGGCCGTCGACCCGATGGCAGCACCCTCCAGCCCCTCACCAGCCGCCTGGCCTTTCTCCCCGTGACCCAGCCTCGGTGGACTGTCCGAGGCCACGTGATTGTGGGCGGCATGGGGCGGGGCCTGCGGGAAAGCCGCCTGCCAGACTCCTCCATGCCACAGCAGGGTGGGAAGGTCTCCCAGGAGCCTTTGAGCTCCAGGGAGGAGGATGCGTAACTGACAAGGATGTAAAGGACAGATTAAAAAGATGTGGCCTTGGGTTCTAGTGGCTCTGGTGTGGGCCTGTGCCCAGCCTTTACGAGCCAGAGGCCCCCCCTCCAGCCGAGGGCTGGGCTGACATAGTGTGTCCCCAGGCTGTCCAGGGCGGCAGCCTCTCAACCTCTGAGGTTCTCAGGTAGTCTGGCGATGGCTGGGAGGAGACACTGTGTTGATATTGGAGTCTCTGGATTTGATCTCTATAATGAGCTTCAATTAATCATCCCTTGTAATAAGGATTCTAGGGCATGAGAGAAAAGCACAGCTGATTCAAACTGCTAGAGTGACCAAGTCACACTGTAGGAAGAGCCGCAGTTTAAATCTGAAATAAATCCTAAACCTGCCATTTGAAGTGAGTCGCCAGTGGTTTTGCTGGCCTCCCCCTGGTGGCAGGAGAGAGGAGGTGGGAGCTGAAGCAGGGAGTTGAATGTGGTGCTCAGAGCCTGTCCTTCATCCGGGCCAGGGAATCGGGGCCGGTGGCTGGGCATCAGAAAAGTAACATTACTTCGCCCACTTCTGCCAAGTATAGAAGGCTGCAAGCATGGGCGCACGCGGCGGGACAGGAACGTGGAACTCTGCGATCAGAGCTGCTGCCCTGTTCTCATGGGAGCTGTAAAGTGACTAGGGTAATTAAAGCCTGTTTCCTTTGTGCTGTTGTCAGGAAAAGGAAAGAAAGGACTTTGAAAAATTATAGAACTACACAAATAGAAATTATTCGTGGAGTCGTGGGCCTTGCGCCCCAGCCCCCAGTGTCTGTTGGCTGCCTGTTGACTAACGAGAGGACAGCTTAGATTGGTCCATTCCTTACTTTATAAATGAGGACACTAAGGCTCAAAGAGATGATCGAGTCTATGTCTGTTCTTTAGGAAAGACAGAGCAGTTAGCATGGGGTTTGTTACCAGTAACCCCCAGCTCTCTCTGGTGAGGCCTTAAGCCCCCTTCCTTTGGGGTCTTAGGGATAAGGCTGGCAGGGGCTGGAGGCAGGGGAGAGGGCTGGTTGAGAGAGGTGCCTTCTGGCTCCTCCAGACTTCCCAGTGACGCAGGTGGCTGTGGAAGGGAATTGAGGTGCTCCGGGAAGACAGTGTCTGTCTGAAGGTAGAATGCTGGTGCTGGAGTGGCGATCCTGAAGACGGGAGGGGTGGCGCATAGAGAGGGGCCCCAGGTTATGGGTCGGTGGGTGAGATGAAAGCCTGTAAAGTGGTGGAAGAAAAGGGACTTTGGCTGTGAGACAAAACAGGAGAGCTTGAGAAGGGTGGAGCTGGTGCAGACACATGTGCAGAGATGTCCCTTTATTTGCTAAAGGCCGTGTGCCTGATATGTGTGAAGCACTGGGGTTACAGAAATAAATAGGCCCAGCTTCCTGCCCCATGTGATGGGACCTCTCTTTACCCGCATCAGCACCTTACAGGATGGAGAAGGCCCTGGAGTCCGTGCCCCTGGGCCGGGGTGAGGGAGTATCACTGTGGGGTTTCACGGCATCCCAGATCCTGCCTTCAGCCTCTGCCAAGGTAAACAGTGCTACCTGCCTCCTGGGGGGAATGCAGGATGGGCCAACACCCTGGCAGCAGGCTCTTGCCTCAGCTGACGCAACGGTGGCTGCTCCTGTGTGCGCAGGTATGTGCCTGGAAGGCCTGCCTGCAGCAGCGGCGGTGTCGGCAAGTGGAAGAGTGTTGTGAGCTGCTTCTCGGGGGGAAGCCTGGCTGACCAACTGACCTTGAGCAAGCACTGCAGCTGGCCCTTGTTCCTGCCGGGCTCCTCCAGCTGGGAGCTCTCAGCCCCTGGTAAATTCTGGTTGTGAAAAACACATTGGCACCTCCCCCTACGATGAGGCACCTAGTTGGACAACTTGGCAGTCCGGGCTTACCTGCATGGCAGGGAAGGATGCCTGCCCAGCCTTAGCCTCTACCCAATGGTGGAGGCAGGGAGGGAGAGAACCACACAGCTCCCCTCACTCCCCAGGAGCCCCCGTGGAACAACAGGGTGTGGTCACAGGCTGAATGAGCAAAGATGTGAGTTAATATACTGGTGGGTGTCATGGGAGCTTTCAGAGCCGGGTAAGGAGGGAAAGAGATGGAGATACTGGTTCCCCACTCCTTAACCTGCCACCTGCCTTCCCTGTCCTTTACCCTACCTCATTCTACTGGACCTGAGGAAAATGCAAGGGAGGCTGAGGTAGTTCGAGACACTTGAGCCTAGGAGTTCGAGACCAGCCTGAGGAACATAGTGAGACCTTGTCTCTACAAAAAATTTTTTTAAATAGCGCCAGGCACGCCTGTCATCCCAGCACTTTGGGAGGCTGAGGTGGGCAGATCGGCTGAGGTGGGCAGATCAGCTGAGGGCAGGAGTTCAAGACCAGCCTGGCCAACATGGTGAAACCCTGTCTCTACTAAAAATACAAAAATTAGCTGGGCATTGTGGCACGTGCCTGTAATCCCAGCTACTTGGGAGGCTGAGGCAGGAGAATCTCTTGAATCCCGGAGGCTGCTGTGAACTGAGATCATGCCACTGCACTCCAGCCTGGGCAACAAGAGTGAAACTCCGTCTCAAGAAAAAAAAAAAAAAAAAAAATCTGGGTAGGGTGGCATGTACCTGCAGTCTCAGCTACTTAGGAGGTTGAGGTGAGAGGATTAGCTGAGCCTGGGGAGGTTGAGGCTGCGGTGAACCAAAATCACACCACTGTACTCCAATCTGGGTGACACAATGAGACTGTCTCCAAAGAGAGAGAAAGCACAGGGAAGTGCGAGTGCACTGATGTGGAGCTGGGCAAGGCCTCGGTTTCAGGAGCTGGCGGAGGCTGCAGCCCAGGGAGGGAGGACAGCTCAGTGAGGTGGGGGAGAAGTACGCCTGGGCTGGGGAGGGCGGAGGAGGTTCACGTCTCCACCACCTCTGTCCCTCTGTTGCTCTTCTCTCCCTATCCCCTTTCTCCCTCCTGTCTCTAACCCAAATTGCTTTCTGTGCTTCACACCCGTAATTCTAGTTGCCCAGTGATAGCACAACCTGAGAGAGATCACAGGCAAGCAAAAAACACTCAAATGTGTGTAAAATCAAGCTTTCATCTCTACCCTTCCATGTTCCACCTCTGTTAAGGGGGACAGCAAGCAGCTTGAAGCTAACACTTGTTGTTTCATGACCTCCTTTCACTTCTCACATCCATCAGTTATAGGGTTTTTCAATTGTGCCTCCATAAGTAATTCTTAAATCCTCCTTTCCATCCCTTCTCCATGGTCCATAAGCTTAAGTCCATGTACATGGCAGACAAAGGCCCTCTCACCCTAGCCTTGGCCAACCTTTCATGCCTATGCTCCTCTGGCGCACCCAGGCCTGGACACATCCCTTCCTTGTCAAGTGTCTGATGGTCACTAATTGTTCTTTATTTGCTCAGAAGCCTCGTCCTCCCTCTGAAGCCTTCTCCTTAGAACTCACTCACTCCTCCATTAGCGCTTGCCACACGGTCCTGGAACCGAATACATGGATGCCCCTCAGACCACACAGAAGTAAAGAACCACATCTTACCATCTTCATGCTCCCTGCACTTAGCACAGTCTCAGTGTGCATCAAAAGGGAACAAGAGAGAATGGGTGGCAAAGCTGGACAGTGTCTTTTCTGTGCAGACCTTTAGGTTGTGAGGTTGTGACAAGGTCTCCTGGAAGAGAGAGGTCCACGCCCCTCAGCCTCTATTCTTCCAGGCACCAATGCGTTGGTTTCAGCAGTGAGATAACATATGGAAGCTAAATATAAAGAAATGGGTTAACAAGCTCTTGTCTCTTTCAGTAATCTCAGGGGCGATATAATCAATGAGGTGGTCCTAAAGTTGCTCAAGGCTGGATGGTCCCGGGAAGAAATTACGATGGAACACCTGGAGCCCCACCTCCAGGCGGAGATTGTGGAGACCACAGGTCAGTAAGTGACTCAGTATGCCTCTGGTGAGAGCCACAGCTGGTGATAATTAATTTGTTTGTTGGAATGTGTGTTTATGAGGTAGACAGGGTACTTGGGAACACAGAGGGCAGCCCATAATCATCTCACATTGTCAACCTTGGGTAGGCACAAGAAAAGTGCCTGAGCTCCTTTTCTGGAAATACTTGGAAGAGTAGTTTGCACTGGCCCCAAGAACAGGCGCAGTGGTCTCTGAAGCCTGAGACTGAGTCTCACTGCAAGACTTTACCTAAAGGAGACACAGCTGTAGAGTTCTTGACACATACTGCAGACAGCACTCCTAGAGTTGAGAGAAGAGATCCAACCTCACCCAGCCCTTCAGTTTGGGGGCACCTTAAAACTCCAGTTGGGGCCAGGTGCGGTGGCTCACACCTGTAGTCCCAGCACTTTGGAAGGCTGAGGCGGGCAGCTAACTTGAGTCCAGGAGATCTAGACCAGCGTGGCCAACATGGTGAAACCCTGTCTCTACAAAAAATACAAAAAACAGCCAGGTGTGGTGTGTGCCTGTGGTCCCAGTTACTCACAGGCTGAGATGGGAGGATCCCTTGAACCCAGGAGGTGGAGGCTGCAAGGAGCCCAGATCGCACCACTGTACTCCAGCCTGGTTGAGCAAGCCCCTGTTTAAAAGAAAACAGCAACCCCCTACCCCCCTCTAAATTCCAGCTAAGTTCAGTCCTAGGTCAGACTCCATGTAACTTTGGTCTTGATTTCAGACAATGGCTTTGGCCACAGCCGTCTTGTGAAGGAAAACCTGATTGACTACTTCATCCCCTTCCTGCCACTGGAGTACCATCACGTGAGGCTGTGTGCACGGGATGCCTTCCTGAGCCAGGAGCTCCTGTATACAGAAGAGACACTGGATGAAATTGCCCAGATGATGGTGTATGTCCCCAAGGAGGAACAACTCTTTTCTTCCCAGGGCTGCAAGTCTATTTCTCAGAGGATTAACTACTTCCTGTCATGAAGGCTAGAGGAAGACTTCCTGGAGCTCCCTTTCTTCCACTAACAGGACCCTGGGACCTGTAGGAGCACCCTGTTTGGGACTGTGAGCTGTTTGAGGGGGTGTGGACTGGCATTCAGCAGTCACTAACACACAACTGGTGTGTAAAAGGCAGGCCTTATATTAGAAGCTGAGCCAATCCTTTTTCTTTTTTTTTCTTTTTTTTTTGAGGTCCCACCGAGATAGGAACTTGGATTGCTGGATTCAAAAACAGACCCCATTCTTAAGATCACTTGGTGCCTTAAAGACACGCATTCCAAAGTGGAATGTGGTTGAAGAAAGTGGGCCAGGTGGTTGAAGACAGGCGTGTGGGAGCTCAGCAAATCCCAAAGGCTTATTATGACACTCCAGATGGTCTCCTTAGCATCTCAGCTCTTCTGCAAGGAAGAGCTTGGGTGTTGGGCCTCAAAGGCTGTAGAGTCCTTGGGTTAGAGAGCTGGGGAGAATGAAGTTCTGTGACCCAGGTGTGGCGAGTACACTCTAGGTTTACGGGCTGGTGGGCTTTCAAATTGGTACTCCCAGAGGAAAGCCGGGCTGCTTCTGTTGTGAGCAACCAGCCAAGAGCCTGAGGCTGAAGGGAAAAGTACACGGAGGAAGGTGTTTTACAAATCAGGTCAGTGTAGGCCAAGACTTGTGGTCTACAGATTTTGGTGGGGGAGGGGGGAACCTTTTCAAAGACAATTGGGGGTCTTGACGTGTTATATGTAAAGATTAAAATTTTTGATTTTTCTAAAATCCTTGGCCTACTTTCTTACTGTTTCTGAGACCTAGCAAAATTTCAAAACTGATAATCCTGATAAGGCCTGGCAGAGACAGGGTGGATGCTGGCACACACGGAGCTAGCAGGGCATGTGGCTGGTCTGCCCATCTAGTCAGTTTGCTTTGGGACCACATCAGTGGAACCAAGTCATGCCAACCTCCTACTGAAGAGGCTTCCATAGCACGTTGCTCTTACATGTGAAAATGTTCACTCCTGTACTCTCAGCTGTAAAAAGAAAAGCAGTCATTTTTGAGGATTAAATGGCACCGTGTAGACATGTAGCATTGTGCCTAAACACAGTGTTCATTATGTGCCTTTCCCCTTTTCTTGGTTCTTCTCCCATGCCCAATAACACAGGTCTTTTTTTCCCTGTTTTTTGCATATTATACACACACACACACACACACACACACACACACACACACAGACACAGAGTCAGGGGCTCACTATGTTGCCCAGGCTGGTCTGGAACTCCTGAGCTATCTTCCTGCCTCAGCCTCCCAAAGTATTGGGCTTACAGGCATGAGCCACTGTGCCTAGCCTTTTCTTTCTTTTATCATCTCGTGTCCTTTCTTAATTTAAGCCTTCCTCACAGATTATCTGACATCAGGAGTTCAAGACCAGCCTGGCAAAGCTGGTGAAACCCCATCTCTATTAAAAAAAATTAACCAGGTGTGGTGGCATGAGCCTATAGTCGCAGCTACTCGGGAGGCTGAGGCAGGAGAATCACTTGAGCCCGGGAGGTGGTGGGTGCAATGGTCTGAGATTGCACCATTGCACTCCAGCCTGGGTGACAAGTGAAACTACATCTCAAAAAACAAAAACCCTTCCTCAACCCTCTCTCCTTTAGTTCTTATCAAATGAAACACTTCTGTCTCTTCCACATTGAACAGTTTATTGTGCTCATTTACTCAACTGCCTCAAGGTTAGAAAGTACCTACCCTGAGCCACATTAGGTACTCAAATATTCAAATCAATGAAATAAAAGGGTTTTAGTTTCATACCACTCAAGGGATAAAAGTGGACTCAGCCTAACTATACAATTGGATGGAGCCAGTGTTAGCTACCTACAGGTTTTCCGTCTCGAGCATCCCAGAAGATGCAAGCCACCCGATGCTACTGCACACCAGGCTCTAAACGCACTGAACACACTTGTTAAAGGGTAAGTCTCAGAGACAGAACAGGTGGCATCCGTTCCAGCACTGGCCAGCTGCGTTTGGCGTCATAAACAGAGGATCTGAACCTCCCACCTGGGGAACCAGGACAAGCAGCAGAATATAGTGGTTCCAAACACATTCTCCGGAGCCAGACTGCCAGGGCTGGAGCCATGGTTTCACCACTTACCACTGTGAGGCCACGGGAAAGCAGTTTAGCCTCCGTGTCCACTCCAGCATAACCGTACCTACCTCATAGGGTCGCTGGATGACATGAGTTCATTTTTATAAAGTGCCTATGAAACCGCTTTTGCAAAAATCATAAACTGAGAAAACTATGAGTGACATATCAGACCAAACTGACCCCAT